AAAAAAAAAAAAAAAAAAAAAAAAAAAGAATGGCTCAGTGCCTTGGGAGATAGAGATCTGAGTTCAGATTCTGGTCAGATCCTGGTTTCCTCTTTAACCAACCCTTGCTCAAATCCCCTACATGTTTGAGCCTCAGTTTCCTTCTTGTACCTACGTTATAGGATAGTTGGGAGGTTTCAATATAGTAACGCATGTAAAGTGCCTGTCTGGTGCTTTACACTAAGGAAGTGTTCAGGAAACGTGAGCTCTTAACACCATCATCACTTACTGCAGACCTACTGTGTGCCCGGCACTCTCAGGGAGGAGGGCATGAAGGTGAAAACACAGCATGGGTCGTGTTCCCAAGGACTTTGAAGATGTCTGACTTCAGACTCTTTGTTCCTGTCACTCCACCATTTGAGTTGGGCCTTGAAGGGCGGGTCAGATTCGTCACATGGGGTTGGGAGGGAGAAGAGGCCTTGTGGACATGGAGCCATGGATGCTAAGCCTGGGAAATGGGAGAGTGTAGGGCGTGAAGGGAAAACTGCAAGTATTTTAATTCAGTTCCATGTGAGGGCCTCTCCAGTCTATCTCACACAAATCTCAGTGAAAATATATTAAATACCTGCTATGCACCCCTCTGAGGACTTTATATCCAATCCCTTATTGAATCTTCATGGTAAATGGAAAGGTCACTTTGCCATTCCTATTTCAAAGATGAGTAATTTGAGGCTCAGAAAGATCCAGCAACCTGACTAAGAGCCCTACACTAGGAATGGATGTGGCAGGAATTCACGTTCAGGGTGACCCAGTGCAGATCTGCATCTCACACCTCTGGCAGGAATGAGCTCCCAGGCAGTGAAACTCTAAAGCCAGCCCCAGCTGCCCGGTTCTCAACCATGGAGAGCTGGCTCACAGCACCCTTGCTGGCTCCCTTCTTTCGTCCCAGCCCCACCCTGCCACCCCCATTTCCCTTCCTGGCCCTGGGCCCCTGCTCCTTCCCCAAACCTACTCTGCCACAATTCCTTCCAGGTTCCCTCATCTGTAAAATGGGGTTAATAATAGTGCCTGTCCCAGAGGGGTGACGTGAGGATCAGAGGAGATGCCCAAGTGCTTGGAGCCCAGCACACAGTAGGTTCTGTAAATATTAATGATCATCATCACCATCAACCTCTTAATGATATCCCTGAAGTCCTGTGACATCGGCCAAGTGGAAGCATTATCGGTATTTGATGGTTGAGGAAATTGATGTTGAGAGGTAGAGCAGCAGCCTGTCCAGCGGCGCTCAGATGACAGGTGGGGAGTGGGACTTGAATCTGGGCCTGCTGAGCCTCTGACTTCAGATCTCATTAACTTCTGCCACTCTTTGCTGGGAAGATTAATGAATCATTTAATCAATATTTATTTCCCATCTTCTGCATGCCACGCCAGGCCATAGATGCTGAGGGGCATTCAGAGAGAGATACCACCTGGTCCCTTGAGAGAGCTTAGAACCCAACAGATAAACCAGGCATGAAAACAAAGCCTTGTTTTTTGAGGCATAACACACGAAGGGTCCAAAGAGGGTGAGAGGCACTCTGACTGGGAGAGAGGAGGCAGGCAGGGAAGGCTTCCTGCAGTAGGTGATGTTTAAACTAGGCTATGAAGCTTTTTCCCGTGTGGCGACTGAGAAAAGAAGGCATCAGAGACACCATCAGCTGTGTGGGCAGGGCAGCAGCGCCTGGAGGCCTGTCACCAGGCTCTTCAAGGTGCAACAGAGCCTGTGAGTCGAAGGTGAATGAAGGTTGTCATGATAAGTGTTTTCCAAAAACTTGTTGTAGAGGATGGCTGTGAGAAAACTGCATGTAATAAGCGTATAGGGACTTGCAGATGAATGTTCAAGTCCTTGGCTGTGGTGTTTAAAAATTCATTGCCTGAAAGGTGTGGCATACAGTATTTTGGAAAGAAAAATGAAGAATTGGTCAAGAAGTCATGAATTGAAGCAAATGATGAAAATTAATATTTTAGTGAACACTGATCACCTCAATAAGTTATGTAGAAAAATACATGTTCAAATGGTTTTAATTTTTGGGCAATAAAGTCTATTTTCTTTCAAATAAAATAATAATAATAAATAAACTGGGCCATGAAAGACCAGTGAAATGTGTAGACAGGAGTAAAGGGGTCTGTGTACTGGAGATAAGGCCAGAGATGTAACCACAGCTGCCATTTCTTGGGGTTCCTTATGAACCACACTCTGTGCTGAGTGCTTTACATGCATTATCTCATGAGATTTCCCCACAACCTTATGAAGTGAGTGGTAAGGGATAAGAAAACCAAGCTCAGAGAGTTTACAAAACTTCCCTGGGGTCACACAGTTAGCAAAGTGGCCAGGCCTGGATTTGAACCCAGGGCTGTCTACTTCAAGGTCTGGGCTCTTCACCACTATGCATTATTGCCACCTCATCCTCCAGGTCTGAGGATCAGGTATTAAGCTGGGGACTGACTCTGGAAGTGCTCTGAATGCCAGACTCAGCCTTGCATAAAAATCACACAGCAACAGGCAGGAATCAGCAGACCTGGAATTAAGAAGCAGCTTTTAGCAGCTCTGCCACTCACCAGCCAAGGTCACTTCTCTGAGCCTTGACGTCTCTAAACTGGAGAGATGAGGAATGTAAATGGATTATCAGCAATGAGGGAGGGAAGACCTGTGACAAAAGGATTGTTGAGGAGAAGCCTGGAGATGTTCAAATATTTACTGAGTGTTGGGCTCTGGGAATACAACTGTGAACAAATCAGAACTGTGCACTCTGGACCCCCACCCAAGCCTGCAAGGGGCACAGCTTGGGAGAGCAGGGGAGGAGCCTCTTATTGGAACAAGCAAGGGCTCAGGACCGGGCCTGTCCCAGACTGAACTCAAATCAGCGAATCTCTCTGTGTGACCCTGGGCAAGTTACCTAGCCTCTCAGACTGTCCATCTTTACCACGAAGATCATCATTCCTCTTCTGACGACTGTTGGCTCAAATTAAATAAGACGTAATCATCTCCAGAGTGCTAGGCATACTGTGGGCACTCAGCTGACCTTAGTATCCCCCTATGAAGAGGTATAAACGTTAGGCTCCGTCCCTCAGCCCCCTTGCCAAGAAAGAGAACAGTTTCCTGGCTTTCATTTTAGCCGGGGGGAAAAACGATATAAATACCTATATGTTATCGTTGGCTGAGCTATAATGCAAACTAGCAAAAGGTCTGTGGCCTGGGCAATGTAGTGCTGGGTCTGGGCTCAGGTCAAGACTCCGCGCCAAAATGTTCCCCCCACCCCCGGGGAATTCGGGCCCAGTCCTCAGCTCTGTGAGGGAACCACCCTCCCAGTCTGTTTCTCTGGCTGTCAGCGCGGGCGGGCGCCGGGCGACAGCAGCTGTTGCGTCCCCTTTAAGCATCCAGCTCGTGTTGCAATCACCGCCTCGGGGACGGGTCCTTCCGGGGGGTGGAGCCTGTGCCTGTTGCAGCGACCAACCGAAGCGCGGCATTTTCCGCGGGAGATCCGAATTTCGCGGCACGCAGTTTCGCGCTAAAAAAAAAAAAAAAAAAAAAAAAAAAAAAAAAAAAAAAAAAAAAAAAAAAAAAAAAAAAAGAAGCAGAAAAAAAAAAAGCAGAGAAAAGCTCAAGGGCTCGAGAGCGAGGCGAGAGGGAGTTGGTGCAATCGGTCCCCCTCCCCCGTCCGAGCGCATCGCGTTTCTGCTGAGCCCGTGGGCATCCCAGATACCACTCCCGAAGCGGGCCAGACCCCAGGTGCCGAAGCCTTAGGAGGCGCGGGGCCCTTGCTGGTCGCAGCAGCCCTCGCGGCGGGGCAATCCCTGGCCGTGCCGCCGCCGCCGCCGCCGCCGCCGGCGCGGGGCGATCTCCAAGCGGCGATCTCCAAGCACTGCCCGGCTCGGCGGCGGGCCAGGAGGGGAGGGTCCGGCCTTGCCCGGCCTCCGCGCCATGCCGCGGGCCGTGTGAGCCGCCGCGGGCTCCGAAGCCCGCAGGTACCGGCGGGCGCGCCAGGCCCGGCTGGGGAGGGGGGCGCTGCGCTCGCCATGCTGCGAGGGCCGCGGGCCCTGGCTCCGGCCGCGGGGCCACCCCTCAAGGGGCTGCCCGCGATGAGCCCCACGGAGCTGTGGCCGCCGGGCCTCAGCAGCCCTCAGCTCTGCCCGGCCACCACCACCTACTACACCCAGCTGTACCCGCAGACTGTGCCTCCCGCTGCGGCGCCGGGCACCTGCCTCGACGCCACCCCCCACGGACCGGAGGGCCAAGCTGTGCGATGCGTGCCTGCTGGCCGGCTGCCGGTAATGCTGGGGACCACCCCCCCCGCCGCCCCCGCACCGCTTCCCTCTCTGCTTTTACGGGGGTGGGAAAGGCGGGAGGGACGTCTGGGAGCTAGTCTGAGTGAGGCAGGTCGAGTCTGGGGAGAGAGAACGGGAGCTTTCAGCTTCCAGAACAACACATTGCCCCAATATCTAAGTAGAAGAGCCTTTCATTTTCAGACTTGGGATGAAATAACCTCATCCATTGTGGTGGAATGGAATGAGCACTGGATCAGGAGTGTGGAGACCCAACGCCCTACGCCCAGTGCACCCTGTGACCTTGGGGAAGTCTACGGAGTCAATTTGCTGTCATCCATTCATTCTTTCATTCATTGTTTGGCCCAGAAACCAGTACTAGGCACCTGCTATTGTCCAAGCACAGAACTGAGCCTGGGGATACCGTGGGGGCTTTAAAATAGGGGGAGGTCTCTCAGGTCCAGTTTGGCTGAGACTCCTAATTTTCCATCCAGCCACCTCTTTCCCAATTATCTGCCCTAGATCCTCCCCCAGGCCCAGTCTTCTGTCCCAGACAGCCAGTAGCAGGTGCAAGGTGGGGGCAGCCCTCTGAGGTTCCTGTTCAGATTGACTGTTCTTTTCTCAAAGTGGCAGGACCGTTGCCAGGGAGGGCCCAAATTGTGGTGGCACCAGGCACAGGGTGTGTTTTTTGGGAGTGGAATTCCTGGAGCCCATGAGAATCGAAACAACCATAGGGTGGGGTGGAGTTGGAAGAGCCCTGGGAGGTGGGGGTGATAGTTAGGGAGCCTGATTTCTGGTCCTGATTGCCGCTAATTCACTGTGTGTCCTTGGACAAGTCTTGGCCCTTGTCTGGGCATCAGTTTCCTTGTCTTGAAAATGTGTGCGTGCGCGGAGTAGCTGTGGGACTAACTCATCTCAAGTCTCTTCCAGGTCCTGGGTTTTGGAAGCAGGATCCAGGAAGGGGAGATGGGTTGGCTTTGTTGTGAGTGGTGAGTTAAGTTCAAGTACAGGGAGAAGACCACCCCCTCTGCCCTAGAGGCACTGATCTGACCTGTGTCAATCAGCAGGCTTGGCCTCCAGCCACCGCTGGCTGCAGGCAGAGAGCCCCACTGCCTGCTACTGGAATCCTGCTTTGCCAATTCTCAAGGCTTTAAACTTTCAGAACCCCTTCCTGTACATTATTTCCAACTAGGAGGAAGGCGGCAGGAGTGCTATTCCTATTTTACAAGTCAAGCAGCCAAGGATAACCGGGAGTTTTTAACCTATCTTTAGTTCAGCATTTTACAGTCTAAGATAGTTTTCTACCCTATGAAGTAGATGGTTTTAGTAGCTCCATGTTGCAGGGGGAAACTGAGGCTCAGAGAGAGGATGTGACCTGTCCAAGATCATATAGGGAGATATATGACCCACAAGGCAGGTTATCATTAGCCTCTTCTCTGCAGCCTTGACTTTCCCCAGTACCACCTGATTTAGGAGCTGGGTGCCCGCAGGGAGGGCGCTCAGTGGTGGGCCCAGCCTCTCCTCTGGCCAGCTGCTTTCAGGAGACCCGGCAGAGCTTCAGTAACAGCTGTGGTTTTGAACTGCTTTCCTCCCAGAGGAGCTGAGTGCATCTGTCTGTACCTCCCTCCCAGAGGGGCTCAGTGATCACAGCAAGAATGGTTCTTTTACTGAATGCCTCTCGTGTGCCAGGCACTGCTTGGCACTCTTCACATTCCTTATCTTGGTCAAGATGCCCGGGATGAGGTATCTTACAGATGAGGAACCTGAGCAGAGACGTGAAGTCACTTGTCCAAGTCCTAAGCCAAGACGTGAGAGCATCTCTTTGCATCAGACCACCCTACAGGCCTCTGGGGCCCAGAGCCCCCTTTCCTGTCAGTCCCCGGCTTCCCTGTGCCCCAAAACCCGGTGGGCAGGCTTTGGCCCCCTGCTTACTCATTTAACAGGGTGTGACCTGGAGCAGCGCCAAACCCAACCCTGGGTGTGGCCACTTGTTTTGTGCCCAGGCTGCAAAGTGCAGGGTGAGCAGGATTTGTTGGGGAACTGCTGTTTAAAGGGACCTTAGGCACTGCCCAGGGACGGCGACCAAGATCAACGGCAGAATGAACGCGGGAACCCAGGTCTCCTCACTCCCTGACTAGAGCTCTTTCCGGCACCTCTGGAGGAGGCGTGGGATGTTCCTGCCCCAGCTGGGCACATGGCCTCACTCTGTGTCATTCCTGCAGGAACCTGTGAAGAGGGTGGGATTCTGCAGAGTTCTCCTTTTCTTTTCATTTGTCTGTCTTTTCCAAATTTCCTCTGAGAACCAGGGAAGAAAATGAACATTTTAATGAACAACCGTACAAGGTGGGTCAGATGAGGAAATGTAGGCTTAGGGAGGCAAGGCAGAGAGTCCCTCCCAGGCTGCCGCGAGGCAGAGCGGGGATCTGGAAGCAAGGCTCTCAACTCCTTCCACTGGCTCCTACCCCTACCGTCTAACTTATGGCTTAGGAGAGACCTGGCTCCACTCCCTGTGTGATTTCCGGCAAGTCACTTCCCCGCCCCTGAGCCCCGGTTACCTCACCTGGCTGCCTGCAAGGGGGTGGTGTCTGGGGCCTCTGGCCCTCTCACTTCTAGGGCTGCCTGAGGAAGGGGCTCCGTTCTTCCTCGGGGTTGGCACGGTGGGCTTGAATCTTAACCAGGCCTCTAAGAAACAGCCAAAGGGTCTGCCTAAAAGGGTCAGGTTGGAGCTGAGCTGGCCTTTGCCCTCAGCACGTCCCCGATGCTTTTCAGCTCGGCCCTGAACCTCCCCCTCGCTGGTGGCCCTGGTGCATTAGTGATCGCAGCTCCCCCGCGTGAGCAAGCGCTTTGCTGCCCCCTCACTGAATCCTCCAGGAGGGAGGAGCAGAGCACCCCCCTTTTACAGGTGCATCTCAAGAGGTCAGGGACTTGCCCAGCTCACCCAGCCTGGATGGGAACCCAGGCAGCTCTGACTCCAAGGCCTGTGCTCAGCCTCTCCTTGGTCCTTGTCCTCCTGGGCTTGTCCTCTGCCACTTCCGTTCTGCAGGCTCAGGCCCATCCATGATGAGCTGACTTTTCTCTGGGCAGTGCTCAAAGGTGTCAGGGAGATGTCCTCAGCTGGGGGACGGTTTGCTGCTTGGGGACCCTGAGAGTGCAGGATAAGGGTGAAGGAGAGGAAGAAAAGAGAGGGGGCCAGTGTGTGTGTGTCTGTGTGAAGTAAAGTGATGGGGGCCGGTGGACATAACCAGGCCTTGGCTCAAATTTCAGCAAGTTCTGGGGCAACGTGTATGAGACGGAGCTGAGTAGCCTGGTACCTGGTTTTGGAATCAGACAGATCTGGGTTCAAACTCTGGCTTTGCTCTTTGTCTGTGTGGCCTTGGGCACGTGGCTTAACCTCTATGAGTCTCCATTTCTCATCCACCAAGAGAGGGTGCAGTACTGAGTTAAGACTGATGAGCACGTGATAGGCCCCACACAGGTACTCTGCTCAAGGCCCTCCCCTCCTCCCCGCTCTGCAGGTAGTGAGGTTCTTCCTGGTGTGTTCTGTGAACTCAGTAGGGGCTGGCTTCCATCAGGTGAAGGTGAGTGGGCCTGGGGAGACTCTGGGCTGCCACCTCTGCCTCAGGTAGAACTCAGCCTGACTTCCCTTCCTCTCCTTGTCCTGGGCTCACCAGGTCTCAGTTGCTTCAGCTGTAAAATGGGGATTCGTGGCGTTAGGAAGATTCAGTGAGGTGATGAACATTGGGGCTTGGTCTAGGGCAGGTGGAAGGTCTCAGTGAATGATTAGGACTTTTTCTCTAAACAAGATGGGACTAGAGCAGGTCACTTTCCCTAGAATCTAGCATCTCACAGGTTGGGAGGTTAGAAAAGGAATATTTTCCAGAAGGACTTAAAGAGGAATGAGCAGGGAGATGTGGTGTTTGGATCATGTCCAGGCCTGGGTGGAGGTGGAGGGGAGGATCCTCTTATCCAAGCTCCTCCAACCAAGAAGCAGCGCTCCTCAGATCAGTCCAGGAAGACTTCCTGAAGGAGGCATGAGAAGGGGGAAGGGAGCTGACAGCAGGAAGAGCCATCACTACCTCCCACATGTGTCAGCCCACCTGTGCTCAGCAGCGGTTAGAAGTCTCAGCCCTGCTGAGCATGACCTCACCATCAAAAGTTAAAATAGACCTCTCTGTCCCAACTAAGGTAGGGGTGTCTGGGTGACTGGGGGAAGGGAAGAAGAAGGAAATTGGCTCAGTGACCCCCAGAACAGTTTGTCTAGGAAGAGGCCGAGTTTGGATTTTAGGGAAGGGACTCTGCATTTCCTGAACACCTACTGAATGCTGAGCCCCAGGTTGAGTGCTTTACAAAAGTTATCTCCTTGAATCCTTACAACAGCCCCTGGCAGTAGGTGTTTTCCACCCCATTTTACAGAGGAGGAAACTGAGGCTCCTAGATATGGAGCATTTCCTCAAGTCACACAGCGAGCCCGTGAAGGAGCAGGGAGATTCACGCCTGGGTCTCTGACCTGTGCCCCAGTGCCCCAGCCCTGCCTCTGCCCAGCCCTAACAAGGAGAGAGGCCCCTTCCGGGCCAGCCCAGCTTCTGGGCGTAATTGAGGCCGGGTGGCAGTGGGGTGGAGAGGAGCAGATGGGTCTGTGGTTTGATTTCCCCAGCAGGTGTTTCCCAAGCTTGGCGGGAACAGGGAGGGGGAGCAGGGGGACCTCAGCTGCTTGTCCTTAAGACACAGGGGAAGGATTCATTGTCTGCCCCTCTCAGCAAAGAAAGAATGGCAAATAGAGTCTATTCAGGAGGCCCTGGGGCCCTTGAGCTGGAGCCCAAACGGGGGTTGGGGGATGTTTGCTCTGCTTCCCGATGTGGACACCTCCCTGGGGTGTGGCACTGAGCCAGGAAGTCCACTGGGCCTGGGCGGATGCCCAGCCCCACCCTGATAAGGGCCAGCTGTGAGGCTGTGATGGGCAACCAGTCTGGCTGAGCCAGCTGCTTCTGCAGTGGAGGTGCGGGGGCTCTCCCCAGCCTGATGTGCTTTAGGCCCTCCCCTCTCCTTCCTCCCTGTATCATCCTGGGGGAGGGGGGTAGAGAGGCGGGTGTCGGGTCCAGTTATTAAGGAACCCTGTATTAAAACCCAGACTGGCTTTGGTAGCCTCAAGTGCCTGGGCCTCGGAAGATGGGAGTGTTGTGTGCCCCTCAGAAATAGGACTTCCTTCCCCTGAAAGCTCATTTTTCAGGTCACTGATATTTCCTTACCAGGTACAGTGATTTTTTTCACCCAGGACTAGTGGCAAATTGAGGCAGGCGGTGGCTACTGGTGGCCTCAGTGCTTTGGCCCCAAGGTGGGGAGAAGCTAAAGGACGAATGATTCTCAAACTCTGCCTCTCTCCCCTCTCTCTCCCCAAGGCCAAAAGGAAGCTGGACCTGGAGGGGATCGGGAAGCCTGTGGTCCCTGAATTCCGGACTCCCAAGCGGAAGTGCATTAGAGTGGATGGCCTCCCCAGCCCCAAAAGTAAGCCACGCTGATGGGTTATCTAAGGGCAGGCTCAGGAGACTGGAGGTGGGGTGGGGAGGGGCAGAGGGCAGCAGCCCTGCCCAAATCACCAGGGCTAATATTTGTAGCACACTTTCTGGTTTACACAGCAGTTTCCTGTGCCTTCTCACTGGATCCTGCCAGGCAGGTAGATTATCCCCCTTTTACTGATGAGGCAACTGGAGACTCAGAGTTTCAGTGACTAACCCAAGGTCACACTGCTAGTCAGTGGAGTCAGGACCAGAGCCCAGTTTCTGCCTCTTGATATTTTCAGTCAATATTCTGGTTTGGGAGGGAGTTTAAGCAACTGCGTTAGGGAGGAATTCTAATTTGGGGGGACAGAGACCTAATAAAGAAGGTATGTTATTGGGCAGTAAGCTTGAGGGTCTGGTCAGGACTGTTCTGACCTGACTGGTCACTCCTCTTCTGTGAATCGTAGCTGTCTCACCTGCAAAGCAAGGCGCAGCTAGATCGGGAATAGCAAGAAAGTTTCCTCTCCAACTGATTAGTAGAGGCTGCCCAGAGTTCTTTATTGAAGGACCCCAAGTGCACTAATCAGTTAGTAATGTCTGCCATGAATGCAAAAATTGACAGCACTGTCTGTGTGCCAAATACTTGCTGTCTATCTATTAAGGAATTCTAAAGTCCCCTTCTAGAGGAATCTGAGACTCTAAAATTCAGTTTCCAGAACTAGTTTAGCCATTAACTTGCTATATGACTTGCAAGTCACTAGATTGCAAAAGTCTTCTTGTGGTTTAAGATGCTGCAGCTGAGATGTGGTCTTGTGACATCGACCTCATTAAGAAAGGGACCTTTTTCATGAACCTGCCACATGTGACATAATAGGACTGATTCCTCTCAGATAATCATTGCATGACACATAGAAAGAAAGAGCAAGTCTGTATGTCAGTGCTGTATGTCAATTATATCTCAATAAAACTGGAAGGGAAGAAAAAAACATGTCTATAAACATGTTCTTGTCATTCCCTCCCTACCCTAATTCCAAATTCCTGACATCACTGGCAGGATAGGGTAATGGTTAGGAAGGGAGACTCTGGAGCCAGACTGCCTGGATTTAAGTCCCAGCTTTGCCACTTTCTAGCTGAGTGAGTTGAGCAAGTTACTTAATCTGTCTGTGCCTCAGTATTCTCACCTGTAAAATGGGGATGGTTATACACCAAACTTATAGGGTGCTGTAAGGATTAAATTTGTTGTATATAGAAAGTGCTTAGAACAGTGAGCTACACACAGTAAGCATTTGTTGGTGTTAGTGGTGGCGGCAGTATGGCTGCCCTGAGCTTTGGTGGAAAGGTGCGAACCAAGAGTTAGAATATTTGGTTTCCAGCCCCGACGCTGCCCCCGATTGTGAAACCTTAAGCAAGTCACTTTGCCTCTCTAGTTATCAGATTCCCTGTTTGAACAATGGTGGTGAATGACCCCCTCCCTCCCAGTGCTCTGTAAACTGGAAAGTGGGTGCTTACATGGAGGGTGTAAACTGGAAAGTGGGTCCAGGTCAATGGAGGAAGTTCCCCAGGGGGCCCTCTTTGAGCAATGGCTGAGCGCCTTTCCTCGTCAGCCCCCAAGTCGCCTGGGGAGAAGACTCGCTATGACACGTCGCTGGGGCTGCTCACCAAGAAATTCATTTACCTCCTGAGCGAGTCTGAGGATGGGGTCCTGGACCTTAACTGGGCTGCTGAGGTGCTGGACGTGCAGAAGCGGCGCATCTACGACATAACCAATGTGCTGGAGGGCATCCAGCTCATCCGCAAGAAGGCCAAGAACAACATCCAGTGGGTGTGAGTGCCTGGGCTGGGGCCGATGGCACCAATGAGTGCGCGTGCTGTGGGTGGAGCCAGGGGCAACATCCTGAGGTTGTGAATGTAGGGGGCGGGACTGAGAGCAACATCCAATGGGCGCAAGTGCTGGCGGGGGAATGAAGGGCAACATCCAATAAGCTTACCCGCTGCGGGTGGAGCCAATGTATTTAAGAGGGGGACGGAAGAGCAGGTGTATATGCTGAAGTTGTATTAGGAGAGCATGGCAGGGTCAGAGAATGATTTATAAGACGTGTAAAGGCTAAGAGGACCCCAGATCCTCTTCAGTCAGGGGTCCCAATATTGCCCTCTTCTAACTTAGGGAAGTCCTCTGGGATCTGCGCAGTAGTAACCCAGACTCCTTCCAGCTGAGATATAAGTACTACAGACTCCGTTCCTCACTTCTATAAGGTCTTAAAGAACAGACCTGCAACCCTTGGCGTGAACTCCAAGAGAACGCAGGCAGAGAAGTCAGGAGTGAGGTCACTCCAGCTCTCTGCCATTTGGCGGAGCCTGGGGCATAGGGTGGGTAGAGTTGAAAGCCCCCCAAAAGTGGTGTCAGGCCCTGACTTGTTTCTTTTCCCTAGCCCAACCCCGAAACATCAAGTTCCAATCCCTGGCAGCTCCCTGGGAGCTAGGCAGGACCACTGATTTGTACAAGCCAGGAGGCACCATCATAGACCATGTGAATGGCCTCTTCCTGGAGTTTTGCCCACACCATCTGTGCAGCTTTGCACAGCAGCCCTGGGGTTGGGGTCCCTGGATGTAGACTGAGACTGACACTGGGGGACTGCTCTGTCCCCAGAGGCAGAGGACTGTTTGAAGACCCCACCCGGCCTGGGAAGCAGCAGCAGCTGGGGCAGGAGCTGAAGGAGCTAATGAGCATGGAGCAGGCCTTGGACCAGCTCATCCAGAGCTGCTCTCTGCACTTCAAGCACCTGACGGAGGACAAGGCCAACAAGAGATATCCTCTTTGGTTGGGAGGAAGGGGTCCGGGAGCAGGGGGCCTGTTGCATGCTCATAACTACACAGAGTTGATGCGGTACCTCGCTGCAGGGACTGATCCACCCTAGGGGTCTGGCATATCTGTTTCTTCCTTCCTCAGTGGCTTTTCCTCTTGGGTCTCTTGAAGTTACTTTCTCATTATAAAAATAAGACAAGTACATTTCTGTAAACCTGGAAAATGGAGAAAAGAAAAAAGAGCTGCCACCCGAACACAGCCATCATTCCTTAGCTATACACAGGGTGTGTGTTATTTAAATACTGAGTGTACCTGCTGTATACAATATTTTATATTCTGCTTTTCTCCACTTAGTGTCCTACCATAGGTGGTTCTTATGTTGTTACATGTCCTTCCTAACTATTTGGTTGGTCCACATGAAATTGCTGATACGGGACCTTTTTTTTTCTTTTTACCTATAAAAACAGCAGTTTCGTATGGTTTAACATCATATATATTTTTGTTTGTTTGTTTGTTTTTGCCACACCGCACGGCTTGCAGGATCTTACTTCTCCGACCAGGGATCGAACCCGTGCCTCCTGCAGTGGAAGTGCAGAGTCCTAACCACTGGACCGCCAGGGAATATTTAAATGGTTTGAGAATGTCCTACTCAGACCACTATGGTTTGTTGATAAGGCCTAGAATGGGCATTTAGATCAATTCTAGATTTCTGTTTTATAAAGCGACATTGTGATGAATATCTTTATTTATTTTTATTTTTTTATTTTTTGGCTGCGCTGGGTCTTTGTTGCGGTGCCCTGGCTTCTCATTGCAGTGGCTTCTCTTGTTGCGGAGCACGGGCTCTAAGCACACGGGCTTCAGTAGTTGGAGCACATGGGCTCAGTAGTTGTGGCACATGGGCCCTAGAGTGCGCGGGCTCAGTAGTTGCGGCACTCGGGCTCTAGGGTGTGCGGGCTCCAGTAGTTGTGGCACACAGGCTTAGTTGCTCTGCAGCATGTGGGATCTTCCCAGACCAGGGCTCGAACCTGTGGCCTCTGCATTGGCAGCAAGATTCTTAACCACTTTGCCAACAGGGAAGTCCCAAATGCCTTTATAGATAGAAACTTTTCCCAAGTTTTTTACTTATTTCCCTAGGTTAGATTCCTAGGATTGAAACAATGAGGTCAAAGAGCATAGACTTTGCAATGGCTTTACATATACTTTTTCCAAATGGTTGGACCATCTAATTGGTATTTGGATCTGACCTTGTATTTCTGGAAGGATAGTAGGCATTGTAAGAAATATAAAGAAATAAGACATGTCTTCCTGCCTTCTCAGAGCTAAAAATCTAGCTTGGTAGATGAAGCCTTTATGTAAAAAGCTGATATAAGGCAGCATTTTTTTTAATGATTCATACCCCCATTTCTAAAGGGGTCCAAGGTAGCTTATGAGATTAAAAGAACAAGTTACAGTTTGAGGTGTTCAGAGTCTTTGAGAGGTGGGTTAGATCCCTTCCAGGTAGGCTGGGAGTTTTAATTTTGACCAGACAGTCAGTCACTTCTCTTGACTCTCCTGCCCCTACACTGGCCTACGTGACTTACCAGGACATCCGTGCTGTGGGCAGCTTTAAGGAGCAGACGGTGATCGCTGTCAAAGCCCCTCCGCAGACGAGACTGGAAGTGCCTGACAGGAGCGAGGTGAGAGGGGAAGCATTTAGTGGAGAGCAGGGTTAGGAACATTCCAGACAGCGCTGCAGGTTCCGTTCCTGGCACTGCCTAGTCCCAGGCTTCCCTGGTCCATGCTGGTGGCCATGGCAAGACTGATGGTCTCCGAGCTGGGGCAGAAGTGGCGGAAGCTGGAAAGGGCATCAGGCATTAGGTACCAGCTGGAGAAAATCTCTGTTCCTGGTTCCTCTCCGCATCCCACCAGCCCCTGCGTTCCCATGCGCATGCACACGTGCACTCGCGCACAGCAACGTCAGTACTCACAGTAATCCTTCCATGTTAACCTAGTTTAAAGACCAAAATTCTTACACTCCCTATGAGGCTGTCTGTGCTCTGACCTCACCCACCTCCTCTCGCATGCTGACCCCCTTCTCTCTCTACTTCAGCCACACTGAACTGCCTGCCGTTTCCCCACCACACTAAGCTCGACCTCAGTACAAGACCTTCTCACACGCTATTCCCTCCAGCTGAAGTGCTCTTCCCTCTCTCTGCCTGGTTTACGGCTATTCATCCTACAGGTCGCAACTTGAACATCACCTCCTCAAGAAGCCTTCCCTGATTACCTCCAGACTTCATAACCACGTGTTCTTTTCCACCACACTTAACCTCCATTTGCCGGGATATATTGGTGATTACATAATTATGTGCTGCTTCATCTGTTACAGTGTAACCTCCACAAAGCCGTGTTCCACCCATGTGGTACCCCCAGCCCAGAGTCTGATAAGGGCTCCAGAAATAATCTGTTTAGTGGAAAAACATTAAGCTATATAAGGCCCATAGGGGCAGGCAAAGTGAGAGGGACCCGGGGGGAACCAAGTGACAGGTCCAGGGGGAGATTTGGGGATTGCAGGCAAGGCTGGATGCAGAGGCTCAAACCGTGTCATAAAGTTGGCCTCACATTCTCCATCTCACTCTGCCATTTTCTGTGCCAACTCCGTTCCCAGGTGGGCTCTCCCCTTACCGTGGCAAAGATAGCTTTTATGATACCAGCTCAGGCCTGAGAGTGGGGGAGGAGTGATTTCCCAAAGGAAAATCAAGGCACTCTCCCTAAAAGAAGGGGGTCTTGGGGCCAGACAGATGTCTACCACAGACTGCATGGGGCAGGCCCAGCACCCAGCTCAGGAGCCGAGCGTGCTCATATGGGCAGTGGGAGCCTCATGTGTCCATCCATACCCACTGAGCCATGAGTAAGTCCAGCTGCCCAGAGCCATGACCTGGCTTCTCTTCCTTCTCCAGGAGAACCTGCAGATATATCTGAAGAGCACGCAGGGGCCCATCGAAGTCTACCTGTGCCCGGAAGAGGTGCAGGAGCCCAACAGTCCTGCCAAGGAGCCCCTCCCCTCCACCTCCACCCTCAGTCCCAGACCTGACCCCACCCAGCCCAGCAGCAGCATCAACCCTGGAATCACGGAATCCACGGCATCCTCAGGTGAGACCCTCTGTCCAGAGGGACAAGGGATGCCGAGAGGGACCAGCCTTAGAGTCTCCCTCTTCCGTGTCAGCATTTGTTGGGTACCTACCTTCTACCCAGCAGCAGGGGATACAGTCCTTCTCCCACACACGTGTGCATTGCCCCTTACACTTTATAAAGCACATGCACGTTCCTTGTCTCAGTGGGGAGACTGCTGCTGCTCTGGGCAGAGGGGCGCCTGGGTTTGAATCCCACCTCTTCCACTTACCAGCTATATGACCTTGGACAAATTACTTTACCTTTCTTTGCCTTAATTTCCGCATCTGTAATTTGGGCATAGTAATTAATAGTATCTACTTCATAGTTTGTGAACATTAAATGAGTTAATATAGGTAAAGCATTTAGAAGGGTGCCTGGCAATAACTGTTAGCTCTTATCATCATTATTACGGCCACTGCCACTAGTACTGCTACTTTTGTAACAGCTCCTAACGCTCAATAGCCCATAGTAAATGGAAATTATAGATTTTCTGAGGAAGGCTCAGCACTTTCTTAGGAGATAATAACTAAGGTGTTTTAACCACGACTGTGTACCAGGTACATCCATTATCACATTACTCCTCACAGCGGTTCTTGAGGTAGGTTTTATTGTTCCCAGTTTAGAGATAGATAAACTGAAACAGGGGTGATGTGACCTGCCCAAGGCCTCCTAACTGGGAGGCAGCAGAGCTGTGTCTTGAACCTTGGTCTCCACACTCTAGCCCAGGGCTCTCTCCACGAGGCGCAGAACAGATCAAGGAAGGACGGTGGCTGGGAGGTGGGTGGTAGAGCTAAAAGCTGTCTATGCCGGGCAGAAAGTAGCATGAGGCCGTTGCCAAGGAGTAAAGAGGTGGGAGAGTCCCCGAGGTCTCCCCAGGGAGACTGGGAGTTGGGCAGGAGTAGACATGGAAGCCTATGAAGGCCCCTCCCCCAGAGTGGTTTTTGCCCTTTACTGAGATCAGGTTAGATCGGCAGGATCCTTCGAGGCCATGTAGGCCAGTGTTCCGCTTTTGTTTTCTTAGCAGCAGAATCCCCCTAAATAGAACCCTAGTGTTCAAACAAATGCAGAGCTAGAACTGGTCTGGTGGAAGAGGCTTTGTGTGTGTGTGGTGGTGGAGGCAGGTGTCCACAGAACCCAGATTGGATTCCATTTCTTTAACTCAAGGGTTAATAAAACTATTGCCTGCAGGCCAAATCTGGCCTGTTTTTATACGACCCATGACCTGAGAATGGTTTTCACATTTTTAAAGAGTTGGGGGTTCGGCGTAGAGCAAGTGACTGTGTGACAGAGACCATACGTGTCCTGCAAAGCGTAAAATACTATCTAGCCCTTTACAGAAGTTTGTTGACCCCTGATTTAACTCAACACTTCATTTTATACATGAATAAACTGAGGCCCAGAGAGGGCAAGTGACTTTCCTAAGGTCACACAGCAAGTTAGTGGCAGAGCTCAGACAAGAGCCCAGACTCCCAGTTCTTCTCTAGCGATCTCGCCTGTGTTCCAGCCCGGTCCCAGGACCAGGGCTCTCCCTGAACCGACCATCTGTCCCTCTGGGAACCTCCCAGTGCCTATCTACCAGTCCAGACCTGTGCCCCACCCTGTTCTCCCTCCTCCTCCCTCGCTCTGCTTTCTCGCTCCACTGTCAACATGTGCATGGCTCTCCAGAGTTAGGATCTTCAGTTGTCGTCTGAGACCTTGGGCAGAGGTGGAGGACCCTACCGCATAAGCAAGGGCAAGGATTTTACCTCAGTTGTACAAGTCAAGAGGCTGAGGCCCGAAAAGCCTAGATAGAGGCTTACGAAACAGTAGGCAGAGGGGCCAGCCCAGAAGTCAGCTCTGTGCCAGGGCCCATGCCCTTGCTGCCTCTCTTCACCCTTGCCACGTGGTCTCTTAGTGATGTCCCTGCTGAAAGGAGCAGGAGGAAGTTTTCCAGAAGGTGTACACACACATACATGCACTCGCACGTGCTCCATGTTCTGGCCTAAGCAGGGTCATTCTGAGATACAAGCACCAAGGGCCTGGTCCAAAGAGGAGGCCACTACAGTCTTAGGACCCAGGCTCCCATCCTAGTTCTGGCGCCAGCAGGGGAATCATTCTTGTTTGGGGACCTCGTTTCCCTTATCTGTAATGGGACGAATCTGAACCTGAGTCATTGAACATCTCTCCGGGCTGTGACCTTCTGACTTAAAACTACATGTGAAAAAAAAAAAAAAAAAAAAAAAAAAAATGTTTAAATTAAAAACTACATGTGGGGACTTCCCCAGTGGTCCCATGGTTAAGACTGTGTGCTTCCACCACAGGGGGCACGGGTTCCACCCCTGGTCGGGGAACTAAGATCCCACATGTCACGCAGCATGAAAAAAAAAAAAAAAAAAAAAACTACATGTGGCTGAGGGCACAGGAGCTGAAGCTGGGACACTCGGGTGTGAGTCTGCATCTCACCTCCTTTGATGGGGTGACTGTGGGGGAGTCACTTTAACTCCTCCAAGACTCTGTTCCCACGTCTCCAAAAAGGGGGACACTAAATAAAACTCCCTCGTGATTATTGGGTGCGTTTCAGGTGATGATACAGCGTGAATGTGACTTTTTAAAAGCTTTTGTGAACTGGACACCTATTATGTGTGGGTTTGGAGATATTTAAGTGAATATGAGCCATTCAGGGTACAATGGAGGCACAGATGTTACAAAGAGCAGTTCTCTTCTGGATGTGATAAACAGTGAGACAGAGAAAGAGGGAGAGAGAGAGGATGGATGGATGGAGGGAGGGATGGATGGATGGATGGGAGGGGTCGGACCTGAGGTAAAGGCTCTCACATGTGATAGCTCAGTTACTGCTTCCACAACTCAGGGTGGTGGGTCCTTATTTTTCCTGCTGGGAAAACTGAGGTGCCGGGTCCTGTGAGGAGCTGGTGAGGGGCTGGGGGCTGAGCCCCCAGCCTCTTCCTCACTCCCAAGCCAGGCCTCGTACTCTAACACACTCAGGCCTCTGCGATGTGCTAAACAAACATTTGATTTTTTTTTCATTCAAATACTACATTTAATTGGCTTCTTTGAGCTTCAGTTTCCTCATCTGTAAATAGATATAACAACAGTGCCTCGGGGCTTCTGGAGTGTCCAAGGAGGTGAAACAGGCCTCTGCTTGAGATCAGAGCTGACGGAGTAAGCCCTTGGGAAATGGGAGCTATTTTTGTTTTTAAGAAGGACAGCCTGCAGACCAGCTGTTCTTTATCTGCACTTACCATTTAAGCCTCTCAACAACCGGAGGCAGGTATAATCATCATCCGCATTTTAGGGGTGAGGAAACAGAGACCTATGAACGTTGTCACTTGCCCACAGTTACACAGTTAGCTCGAGGTTGATCAGGCGGTCTGGCACACTGACATGGTTGTATTTTCAAAACAGTGTTTGGCTGGTAAGGAACGACCCAGATGGTGAGATTCTGGGCATCAGGGTGTATTTGGCAGGGGATTTCCTGCTCCACATGCCTGCGTAGGGAATCAGGTCCTTACCTCTAAATGGAAATGAGCTGGTGTGCTGAAGAGTAGGTGATGGCCGGTGTGTCCGGAGAGGTGAGCATGAGCTATGGGAGGGAGGCGGGAGAGGGACCAGGAAGGAAGGCCGGGACCAAGTCACACCGGGCCTGCTCAGTCCTGGTGGGAACTTGGATTTTATTCTAAGCCACTTTTTTTTTTTTGGCCGCGCCACTTGGCATTTGGGATCTAAGTTCCCCAACCAGGGATCGAACCCGCACCCCCTGCGTTAGCACAGGGTCTTAACCACTGGACCGCCAGGGAAGTCCCTCTAAGCCATTTTTAAGTCACAGCACAGACTGCAAGGGCCAAGAGTCGAAGCAAGGTGACTGATGAGAAGGTTTCTTCAGGGGCCTGGGTGAGAGGAAGGGGTGAGCCGCAGATCACAGCAGAGGGACTGAAGAGATGGGCAGCTTAGAGGGTTGATTTGGTTGTGGAGGTGACCAAACTTGCTGCTGGGTCAGATGCGGGGAAATGGCAGGATTACAGGTGATTCTTGGGCCTTCTGGCCTAAGCAACTGAGTGGGTGGGGGTTCATTAAATACAATGGGGGAAGACTCAGGTTTGGGGAAAGCCCAGGAGTTTGGTTTTGACGTGCTGAGTTCTGACCTAGGGTAGCCATCAAGTAGAGATGTAGCAGGAGCCCAGAGCCAGGGGGTGGGGTCTGTGCCAGAGGCATCCACTTGGGAGCAGTAGATCTGGAGACGGATTTCAAGCCATGGGGCCCGCTGAGGTCACCTGGCGAGGAGTGCAGCCAGAGGAGAGAAGAATCAGAGGATGGAGCCCCTGGGCTTCAGGGTTTAGAAGTTGAGAAGACGAGGAGGATCCAGGAAAGGAGACCAGGAAGAAGCAGCCAAAGAGGTAGGAAGAGAACCAGGAGAATCTAGTACCTCGGAAGCCACGTGAAGATGTTTCAAGAAGAAGGGTGTGAACGACTGCATCAGACTCTGCTGGAACGTCGCGTGGGATGAGGCCAGAGAACTGACCCCTGGATTTAGCAACATGGAGGGCACTGGTTCAGACAGACCCCAGGCTGGAGTGGGTTGAAGCGTGAATAGTGGTGGGGCAGTAGGGAGTGAGCACGGGTAACTCTTAAGAAACTTCACTGTGAAAGGGAGCAGTACCATGGGCTGGTAATTGGAGAGAGTCATGAGGTCAGGGGAGGATGCTCTTTAAAGATCAGAGTTATCAGGGACTTCCCTGGCGGTCCAGTGGTTAAGACTCCACGCTTCCAATGCAAGGGCCGTGGGTTCGATCCCTGGTCGGGGAACTAAGATTCCACATGCTGCATGGTGAGGCCAAAAAAACATAATGAAGATAAGACTTATTAGAGGATGTCTGTGTGTTGACAGGAATGATCTAGGAGAGTGAGAGGAATTGATGATGCAGGAAAAAAACATAGTGACTTCAGGGGCCAGGACCTTGATGGTGAAAGTGGGTAGGGTCACTGCAGAAGCTGGGGGTGGGTGAGGGGAGGGGAGAGAATGTGGGTGAAGGAGGGGGGCTGCTGGAGCTGGGGCGGGAAAGGGCAGGGTGTCCTGTGCTGTCAGGCGTGAACCAGGGTAGGAGAGACCAGAGACTGTTTTTGTTCTCGGAGGTCTGACCAGAGGCTTTCGGGCACCAGCATCAGACATAACCCTTGTCGATTTGTCTCCAGCACCAGCGCTGACGTCCCAGCAGGTCCTGCCACCACTCCCGCCGTCCCTTGTCCCGCTGGAGGCCACCGACAGCATGCTGGAGCTGCCACACCCACTCCTGCAGCAGACGGAGGACCAGTTCCTGTCCCCAACACTGCCGGGCAGCTCCCCTCTGATCAGCTTCTCCCCGCCCTTGGACCAGGATGACTACCTGTGGGGCCTGGACGGCGGGGAGGGCATCAGTGACCTCTTCGACACCTATGACCTCGGCGACCTGCTGATTAACTGAATGGCCCCTGCCTGCCCCCCGGCAACCCCTCCAGTCTCTACCTCCTCACAGGCAGACTGACAGGCCCTCTGCCTGCACGGGATATGACACGAGGTGCTGCCCTCAGGGTATGGGGGGTCCCCCCTTTTCCTTTCCTACCTACCACCTGCCAGCCAGCGCTGTCGGGGGAATGTGGATACGGGGAAGGAGGCTGTCAGGGGTTGGGTTTCTTTCTTCATGGAAACTGGACCTGGGAAGACCCAGCCAGTCTGCTGACCTCCGACCTCTCATGTGAAGGGCCACAGGGGAGGTGACCAGGTCCAAGGAGAGTTCCTGCAATTGCCTTTAGAGGGGCAATTAGGACCCTCAGTTTATCAAGAAGCACTTAATGCCTTTGTATTTATTTCAGGTTGAGTTTTGTTTGTTTGCCTTCCCTGAGTTTTAGCAGGGAGGTTGTTCTAGTTCCTAGGAAGACATCTCCTCAGACAGGTCCAAGGGCAGGCCGGGGCTTGCAGGGGCCCAGGCCAACTCCCTGACTTCCCCCAGCAGTGGGGGACTGGGCCTCAGGGGCCATCCAGTCTGCTGGAATGCCAGTTGCACTTCAGCCTCCTAATTCTCTCGAGCGGAGGCTGCAGGATTCCTGGTCTCCTCTGTCCCAGAGCTGGTTCCAGGGAGTCAGCCCAGAAGAGCTCCCGGGGAAACGGGCACGAACATGGAAGCAGCTGTCCGCTGCTGTGGGCACCTTTCCTCCGTTGTTGCCTCTTGCTGGGACAGGGGCTGTTTTACACTGAGGACCTGGGGGGTAGAGACAGGCCCACTAAGGACAAGGGTGAGCATAAAATAAGAAACTGCCAGAAAGCACCTCTGCTGGTAGCTGCTGGTATCGTCCTCCCCTGCCCTGGAAGGATTTTTTCTTGCCGCATCTGTTGAAGGTGGTGATTCTTTAAGGACCTCCCCTTCCCCCCAGCTCTCACACAGACCCCCAGGGACAGAAGTGACCACGGCTTGATGGCATGTTGGCTCCTTTTGTCACAGGATGCTGAAGGGGTGACAGGGAAGTCTTCATGGCAGACCAGACGTTGGCAGCTAATGGGGAGATGGGCTCATGTTACCTCTTCAGGCTTGGGGTCCTAAGAAGGTCTTTTGGCCTCATCCCATCCCCCAGAGGCTTGACCATCCCACGTTGTCCCCGTAGCCCAGCTGGGTATGGGGCAGTCAGCTCTCCTTCCCCGCCCAACTTGGGGTGGGTGGGGGGCGCTGGGCTGAACCAAGGCTGTGCCTTCCTGAGAAAGACAGCCAGGGGTGGTGGTCTGAGAGACCCACCACCTACCCTCAGGGAGCTAGGTTTCCTCAGGGGCTCAGCTGGGCAGCACTTTTATTTTTTTAAGTTTGTAGCATTAAGTTGGTTTCAAATACGAAGCTGGCGCCATGGAATTTGCTCCTGAGCTGACCTACTGGCTTCTGAAGCTTGGAAGGTGGGCTTCTTTGGGGGTGGGGTCCAATGTGAGCTAATGCCCAGCCGGGGACAGTCAGGCCTTGTCATTTGCTCAACTTCCTGGGTCCCCAAGTTAGTGCCTTCTCAGGAATGGTCACAGATACCCTGCTCTATAAACAGGACTAGTTTTTCTATGCTTTACAGAGGTGGCTTTGGTCTCTACTCTCTAAACACTCACAGGGGTCTCATCAGAAGGCAGTTTTGAAGCCCAGCACGCCTAGGGCCAAGGGACCACCTTGGCCCTTGGGTGGGGGGAAGGGGTGCTGCCTGGGATCTGGTTTGGAGCGGGTGGGGCTGGAGATGGCATGGCTGTTGTGAGGTCTCTGCTGGGCTTCCATCCAGCCATGCGCCATATCTGAGGACAGAGCTGTCTGACTTCCATGCCTTGGGCTCTGTCTAGAGCTTTCTCCTAGAGTTAAATCATAGAAAAGGGAAATGAATTTAATGGTGAAGTCCAGCCAGAATTGAAGCTAATTCCCCAAAGCCCAGCCAAAGGGCTGGACAGAGAGGCTGTCCCTTGGGCCCATGGCCTATATCCAGAGCAGCTGGCGCCCCCGCCATCCTGTCCCCTCCACACCTGTCCGGGCCCAGTGGAGGGATCACCAGGCCAAGCCTCAGGCTTGGTGTAGGAAACAAGCTTGTTCCTCTTTCTTCCTGGTGATGCCTGAAACCTCCCAAGTTCCGTCAAGTACTTTAAGAAGCATTTTGAGTGGAATTCCCTTCACGGCCCAGGTAAACTTTAAAACCAGGGTAGAAGAAAAGCCAGTTTCTTTCTGAGGTAAACTATTCCTGCCAGGAAATTTCCCAGCCGCTCTGGCAGCCCCCACTCCACCCCCGTCACTCGTGTCCCCAGGGGCATCAAAGGCTCAGGGACTCCCCGGAACCCAGTAGCATTAAATTGTGCAGTAGACGGGCTTCCCTGGTGGCGCAGTGGTTGAGAGTCCACCTGCCAATGCAGGGGACACGGGTTCGTGCCCTGGTCCGGGAGGATCCCACATGCCGCGGAGCGGCTGGGCCCGTGAGCCATGGCCGCTGAGCCTGCGCATCTGGAGCCTGTGCTCCACAACGGGAGAGGCCGCAACAGTGAGAGGCCCGCGTACCGCAAAAAAATAAAAAAAATTTTAAAATTGTGCAGTAGAGTTGGAGATTCAAAGAGATTTCTTAAAACCAGAGTAGCATCTCTCCTCCACAGCCACACTGTGGTCTGAGCAGTGCGGCTACAGGGAAGACGATGGGGAGGGCGGAGGGTGTTAAAACCGGCTGGAGCGTGGTTTTGACTTTATTTCCTCTTTCCAGGTGTTCAGCCTCAGTTCTGCGCCGTGTTTAGTTTTTAGTGAAAGAGTTTGGGTGCTCATGCGTCCAAGCATTGTGTGGCTTAAAGCATGTGAAGTGAAAGACTTTTGGGGTTGTTTGCAAGCAGCTTTCTGGTTCTCATCACTGTGTCCTGAGGTCCCCACCTCATCCCTAGCCTACCATGGGGACCCTCAGTGAGCAGAAGCCCAGCCAGCCTGCTGGCTCCTGGGTAAGTGCTGAAGCCTTGTGTGTGGCACATGTGTCTAGAGGGACCCTGGTCTCTGTGCTGGGATTCCATTCGGGTCACTCACCTCTGGCCGGGTTTCTGGTTTTGCCCTGTGTCCTGCCTTGACGAGCACCGTGTAAACCTCCACGTGTTGTGATGATTGGGCATTAAATGACAAACCTGGGCCCCTTGTCTCTGTTGTGCTTTCTGAAGGTCATTACCAAGTGTGGCTCTGGTCCTCCCAGGTCGGGGGTGGAGACTGTTCTGACCAACTGGCTGATCTATGCCCAGAAACAGCCTCCCTTCCCCACGTTGGCTTAGTACCATGCCTGAAATCTCACCAATAAGACCCTGAAGTTTGCAGCACCCAGATCTAAACTGGGAGCCCCTGCCCTGCGTCTGCCTCCATCACCTCTCACCTGAGCAATTTCAGTAGCTTCCTTAATATTCTCACTGTTACCCATTCTTCTCCACCCCATCCTCTGTATCAGTGGTTCTCAAAGTGTGGCCCTCAAACTGGCATATTCCCTGGGAACTTGTGAGAAATGCATATTCTCAGGCCCCACACCAGACCTTCTGAATAAGAAACTCAGGGGGTGGGACCCAGAATCTGTGTCTTAATGAGCCCTCCAGGTGATTCTAGTGCAGGTGAAGTTTGAGAACCATGACCCCACTAATCCGGAGAGATCCTTCTAAAACACAGCTCTCATCATGTCACTCCCCTTCTTAATGGATGGCTTCTCTCTGCCCTCCGGATGAAGTGCCCTTTCACTTGGTGTGAACGTCCATTTCTAACCTTGTAACTGGCTTACCCTACCTTTCCAGCCTCACTGGCCACTCCTTCCCACCACCCATAGCCACACTGGACTTCTTTGTCAGTTTCTGAAAACAACATGTTTTCCCCCTTCTCTGCAATTCACCTGGGCAGGCTCCTGCTTACTCTTTTTTTTATATATAAATTTATTTATTTATTTATTTATTTGGCTGAGTTGGGTCTTTGTTGCTGCGCACGGGCTTTCTCTAGTTGCGGCGGCGAGCAGGGGCTGCTCTTTGTTGCGGTGCACGGGCTTCTCATTGCAGTGGCTTCTCTTGTTGCAGAACACGGGCTCTAGGCAGGCGGGTTTCAGTAGTTGTGGCTCGCGGGCTCTAGAGCACAGGCTCAGTAGTTGTGGCGCATAGGCTTAGTTGCTCCGCGGCATGTGGGATCTTCCTGGACCAGGGCTCAAACCCATCTCCCCTGCACTGGCAGGTGGATTCTTAACCACTGCACCACCAGGGAAGCCCTCCTGCTTATTCTTCAAGGCCCAGTTCAGTTTTTTTGTAGAGTTTTTCCTTGACACTAATATGTAGCCGTTAATACTTTGTACACGGATATGACCATTTATGGGTTATTGAATACCTACTGTGTGCTAGGAACTGGGGAACTAGAGATAAATAAGAATAGTCCCCATCCTCAGGATGCTCACAAGACACAGACACGTAAAAATATAATTACAGGTCTTCCGTGGCAGTCCAGTGGTTAAGACTCCATGCTTCTACTGCAGGGGGCTCGGGTTCAGTCCCTGGTTGGGGAACTAAAGATCCTTCATGCCATGCAGCATGGCCAAAAACAATTACAAATGATGTGTCAGTTGCAATAATATACATTGTAAGAGTTGGGAGGGGGCTTCCCTGGTGGCGCAGTGGTTGAGAGTCCGCCTGCCGATGCAGGGGACACGGGTTCGTGCCCCGGTCCGGGAGGATCCCACATGCCGCGGAGCGGCTGGGCCTGTGAGCCATGGCCGCTGAGCCTGCACGTCCGGAGCCTGTGCTCCACAATGGGAGAGGCCACAACAGTGAGAGGCCCGCGTACAGCAGAAAAAAAAAAAAAAAAAAAAAGAGTTGGGAGGGGCAGTCATTAGGGAAGGCTTCCTGGAGGAGGTGATGCCCAAATTATGTCTTAACAGATAAATAAGACTAGCCTGGAGTAACGGTAAATGAGGGATGGGAGACTTCCTTCCAAGCAGA